TCAAGTAAACACAATTTCTGTAGAAATTGGCATAGGCCTTAGATACCCCTCTTTTCTTTTTAATATTTTCTTTATCAATTTATATCCTCTCCCAACCCAGGTTCTCGTTTGTAAGCTAATTTAACGATTAGCGAACAAACTTGTAACAATACTTGTATTTTTTTGTATCATATTTATTATTTCTTGTATTATATTTATTATTTTTTGTATAAAATTAATACAAATCTACATTTAATACTTTTTAATATTTCATTAAATAAATTGAATATAAAATATAGATTACATTATTAATTTAGATATATATTATTTTTAATTTTTTTATTTTTATTTATTCTTTTATTTTGCATTTATTATTTTTAATTTTATATTAATTAATTTTATTATTATTTATATTTTATATATCTAATTAAGTACAGCATACTTTGGAAATATGTCACCTTTAAGATTAATAATTTAAAACCAATTACTCTTTTATTTATTATTAATTTATTTATAATTTGTTAAATATCAAATATTTATTTAAATATCTCTATTTTGTACTATAGTTCTTTAAATCTTTTTACTATTTAATAAATAAAGAATAAGCTTTATTAAACTAAAACTAAAAACTATTTCAATTGATATAATTTATTTACAATAATTAATAAATTTATCTTAACATTATTCATATAAAAAGTATTTTTACAGAGAAAAAATTAAAATAAATATTAAAGTATATATAAAAAAATGTAATTTGTTGATATGATCTAGTATAAAGAGATTTATATCTCAAATAATCATTAATAAATTATTTTTTTAAAATAAAATTTTATTTAATTAAGTCATTAGATATTAGACTTTATTTTAATATATATTTCATAAAAAAAATTTTTACTAGTAATAACTTTTTTAAATTCTTATTTCATAAATTTTACTATATTAAATTTGATTAAAATTAATATTAAACATATATATTAAATAATTTAATTGTTAAACTTTAAGACTTAAATTCACAATAACTACTAATTCAATCTTTATGAAATTTAAAATCTATATTTATCAAATCTATAACAATATGCTTGCATAATTTGAAGTTTTAATATAGCAAATAATGCTTAAAATGTATTATTTAAAATAAAATAATTTTTTATTTTGTTTTTTAGAAAAATATTCTTGAATAAAAATACAAAAGAATAATATAAATAATATAAATATTTAGTTTAGATTATTCTTTATTTAATATAAAAAAATTAGTTAAATTCTGAATGACTTTATTAGAAACAATTATTAAAGAATCTTTTTGCACTGGATCATAATTAATTTAATTATCAATCAAAAGAGAAGTGATATTCACAAAAATATGACTGTGTAATATCAAACAAATACAAAACTTGCTTGTATAACATCAAAAAGTATGAATATCATTGGGTGAAATTATGATACACCATAATTTTATGACATCATAAAATTATTGAATTACGAAATTTTTGTTGAAAATGGTAACAATATCCATCGCGATTATCAACAATGTTTCTATCTCCTATTTTGGAACAATTGTAATCACGATTGTCAATAATGCAATCAGTGGTTCGTTTACAGCGTATTCCCTCACGATTGATGACGATGCTATCCATATTCGGTAAAGTTTACAATGAAGTTTCTTTTTCAGTGTATTTCACATCATTTGTCATCGACAACAATCCCCAACGCCTTGTCATCATTTTTACAGCGTTTTCTTAGCAATTTGCAGCATTTTCTCGTCAGTTTTTCGACACGTTTTTCATCAAAGAAACCCCCTTTTGTTAATTGTTATAGCACGTTCTTCAGCAAAACAATGTGATATTTCTTTATTAGGGAATATAGATAGTATAGTGTTATTTTTAACGAACTCGATTGCTATAGTTCTTATTGGAACAATTGGTAAAAGCTTGTAATAACAAAAAATTGTATACTTTTTTTTGAGTACTTATCGTTATTAAATTATTTTATTAAGTCTTAAAAATAATTCAAACCAAATCTTTTGGTACAACGCGTAATGCTCAATAAGAATGTGATTACCCAATTTATTATTAATACCATCACCACAGGAACTCTTACTAGCTTTTCATTTTCTTATAAAATGCTCTTCCATCTTTTCAAGAACGAAGCACCAACCTCAACCTCATAACAACAAAAAATTATAATATATATTATGGCATTATCAGCGCAACATACTGTTACTAATGCAGAAATTGACAAACTTACAAACAATCTTTGTAATGCTGCAAAAAATCTCAAAATGGCTTGCTCATCTCTCCGTAGTTTCTATACTACCAATGCTTCGTCAATTTCAGTACTAGTCAAACTTCGTCGCGGCACTACCAACCATGCCATGGTCTATAAAGAGACAGCTCTTCCAATTGCGACTGTGGTCATTCAAAACATTCAAGATTTCGCTCAAAACTATGACGTGTTGGAATATGATGAATTTGAAGAATCCCTCTATGATATAGCTTCTGAAGCACAACAGAACGCTGCAGTAGCTACATTTGTTCAACAACTTCACAAAGAATTGCTCTTAAATTTCAAATCTGAACAAGATAACGTGGATACAGTTTTGAATACGTTAAAACTAGACGGTGTGTGGTATACTAAACAAGCGCAAAAATTGGAATATTTATCTAAAATTAAATTTGCCTGTGCAATTGGTTTATTCTTTGTACCTGGTGTAAATTTAATTGCGACTCCGTATTTGTGCGCGCAGAGCAAGGTAGATTATGTCAATTCGATTGCAAACCAAGAAGAATCAAGATTAGCTGTAAGTGCCACGCGTGCCGTCGAGGATGCTCTCAATAAGTCACTAGAAAAATTTATTGAGGCTTTAGCTGAAATTTCTGGTTTCTTTATGCTCCTTGAAAGCGAACTAAATCGAATCGCTCAATTCCACGACCAGGGATTCAAGAGGCATCATTATTTGAAATGTCGTAAGAAATCGCCAGAAATTATTGCAGCTTGTAATGATTTTATAAAATGCCTTCCTGACTGTAAAACTGACCTTCAAGTTATTCCCATAGACTGCGATAAAAATTACGTACAAGAATGGCTCATTGCAAAAAAGACTCAAATTGGCAATCAAACAATTTCTTTTTCGGAATGGGGAAAGCAATTATTTGTTAAGGATGAACAAGTTTTAAACTTATTCACTTTTAACGAGTAGGCCAAATTTTTGAGTTATTATGTATACATTTTTATCTATATAATCTGTCGTTATTTTGAATAAAACGTTATTATGAAAATTTGATCAATCCCCATCATATCAAACAAACTTTCGTTGGTTGCTTTATTGTAATAATGGTTTAGGGTTTCAGTGACAGTAAAATAGCACATTGATTTGTATTTTCAATTACAGTGGGTGATAAAATATAAATAAAAAAATACACTGATATATGGAGTGTATTTATTTAGGACTATTTATGGAATACTTTTTTTAAAAAAACGTAGTAATAGAACTTTGAGAAGAAAAATATAACTGTTTTTATATTTATTTGACTTTTAATGGTTATTTACTATGTAAAAATAAAAATACTTTATTGTCAACTTTTCATAAATTGTATTTGTTTTAAGTGACTCTTTATCCCTTAAGCCATCCAACAGGCAAATTTGCCCGCTAAACTTTTTTTAGCTTATTTTTGTACATTTACTCCTGAGTTTTTTATAAGCTTAATCCTCTTTTTCTAAGCTAAAATAAAAATAAAGCATATTTTTAATCAATATAATATAAAATTTGCAATTTTGATTTACAATTGCTCAAAATATTTGATTGATTTTTTTATCTATTCTGTAATTTTATTATAAAATATTTTTAAAATTTAAAATTAATAATAAACTTTTTAAAATTACTTATTTTTAACTTATAGATAACTAATTTTTTATAATTATTAAAAAAGTGAAAATAACTATTATATAATATATAATTAAAGCTAAGATTAAAAAAACTTTTTAATTTTTGGTAAAATATATTAGATATAAATTTATGGAATTTTAGCAGGCAAATTTGCCTGCTAAACTAACAATTTAAGAAATATTAAAATGAATATAATATATATATTTCATAAATATTTCTTAAAATAATATTGAATTTTGAAAATTTTGTTACTCATCATAAGTATTTGATTACTTTTGCATTATAATAATTTTCATATATTTATAAAAATACATATAATATATAAAAAATATGATAATTTACTATATTTAAACATTTAGTATATTTAAAAAATTCTAAATTTCTGATTCCAGTAAGTATAATGTTACAAGTTTGTTCACTAATCATTAAATAGCTTACAAACAAGAACCTGGATTGGGAGAGGGTATAAACTGATAAAAAAAATATTAAGAAGAAAAAAGAGGTATCTAAGACCTATGCCAATTTCTACAGAAATTGTGTTTACTTGAAAAGGAATAATAATGTGGGAGAGTTGTGGGAGAGTAAAGGTCAAAGGGGAGAGAGAATA